ACCTTTGGAAATAGACTAGAATATGAATGAGACTAAAAGCTCGTAGATGAATTAGAAGCCAGTTCAGATGAGAGACAGTGAAAATGGACGTTGGCAAGTAGATGTGAAGGTAAAGAGGAGGAGGCATTCGCCCAGCCGGCGTGGCTCAGTGGTTGAGCATCGACCCATGAACCAGAAGTTCACAGTTGGATTCGCGGTCAGGGTATATGCCTGGGTTGCAGGACTGGTCCCCAGTGTGGGGCATGCAGGAGGCAGTGGATCAATGATTCTCTCTCATCATTGATGTTCCTATCTTCCTTTCTCTCTGAAATCAACAAAAATATATATTTTTTTAAAAGAGGAGGAGGTATTCAAATAAAGACAGAGAAGATAGTTGAAAATGAGGGTTAGAAGCTCCTATTTCAGTAGGTCAAGGAGGGATTACTATTTTCTGAGGAATTTATTTCAAAATTGGCCTCCCCATCATGATTTTGTAAAATCTGCACCTGTGCCTCCTTATCTCAGACTGCCAGGCAGGAGAACCACACTAGTTTGTTAGAGTGAAATTAAGAAATTTCTGCTTCTATTTTTTAAAATATGTTTTTATTGATTTTTAGAGAGAGAGGAAGGGTGAGGGACAGAGATAGAAACATCAATGAGAGAGAAACATCCACCAGCTGCTTCCTGCCCTCCTGCATACCCCTTACTGGGATTGAGTCTGCCCTGACTGGGAATCGACAGCGACCTTTTGGTTCATGGGTTGACTCTCAACCATTGAGCAACACTGGCCAGGCTCTGTTTCTATTTTTCAGTACACTTGTGATATCTGGGGCTTGGGCAGCAACAACTACAAAGAATTCTTCCTAGTTCCTTAGAGAAGTTTTTCTTATGTAGAGTCATGCTGTAAGCTATGAAAGGTGGTGTAAGCAATTCAAGGAATGAGAATAAGGGGACGGGAGGATAGCCTCTTAGGTGTCCAAGGATTCTTGCCCTTATGCTGAAGGATCTTTGTGCAATAGGTCTTCTCCCAGTAACCTGAACATGGGTTCTGGGCTTCTAGAAAGATTCTCGGCTGAGTTGTCCACCTTGCTGCTTGGTGAGTGGTCCTGGGTACAATTTCTCCCTCCCTCCTTACAGGCTTCTGTGATCTCACTAACCACTTGAGCTTTCCTCTTGCAGCCTGTTTCATCATCCTTTCTCCTTCTCTCCAGGGCTAGGCAATCCCCACTCACTCAGCCCATCCCTGCACAAGCAGAAAACTCCTGGTAAAGTCTGGGGAGTCAGCGCCATCCCTTTCTGACTTTTCCTAGGTCGCCAGCTCTCTTCCACCCATGGCCTTGTATCATTTTTTCTTTTAAGTACGGTTTTCTTTGTACTAAAACCATACCAAAAAAAAAAAAAAAGGCAGAAAAGTCCTACTGAAGCTAAAATAGTTTTCAATTGGTGTTAGCTTAATACATATATTTGACTTAAGCCAGAAATGAGAGCTATTGTGCCACCCTTGGGAAACTCTTTATAATAGGCATCATAGAAGTATTACTTTAAAGGAAGTTTAACTTGAGATCAAACATATTCCTTTAAAGGGCCTCCCTTTATTCTCTCTTGTTCCCTAAGGCTTTCTCTGATGTGGTTGTGCAGAGGACCGTAGCGGGTGTTTTTTTAAAAGAGGTTTTAAAGAAGGCTGGCTTGTAAAAATAAAACCAGAAAGGTAGAGTTCCTCCATGCTTTTATTTGTGGTGGAGGAATCTTGGAAAATTCAAAATCCATAATAACATCTAAGAACTTTTATATATTCACTCATTCATTATTTCATTCAACATTTATTGGAGCTTCATTATGTTCTATGACCTGTGCCAAATGCTGGAGATACAAAGAAAAGGGAAGAATACTCCCTTAAGAATACCGGCTTCTGGTCAAACCTCAGGGGGAAGACGGAGAGAGTGGGGTGGTGGGTAAGAGATCAACCAAAGGACTTGTGTGCATGCATATAAGCTTAACCAATGGACACAGACAATGGTGGGGGGGCGGTGAGGCCTGAGCTGGGGGGCAAGGGTAGGCTGGGAGAGGTCAAGGGGGGGAAGGAGACATATGTAATACTTTTAACAATAAAAAATTAAAATATATTAAAAAATAAAATAGAAAAATAAATTATTTTAAAAAGAATACCAGCTTCTGTACAAAGATGAATGAACAAAGATTGGGAGACATCTGTCTGGAGGAGGAGGAGAAATTTACAGGACTGAGGAAGAAGCTGGTGCTTCCGTGCATTTAGCTACCATTCTTATCTAGGAAAGGCTGATTTCATTGTCAGTTCCTCAGTAAAGTTGCTTATGACCCAAATTTGTGTGTGCTGTTGTAAGTGCCAAGTCACAGAATGTTGGTTTGAGGCTTAGAGTTGGCAATGGAAGCATCTCAAGAGCTTCTAATTTGTTTTTGGTGTTATTGACCATTAAAAGGAACCTCCAGAGCTACAGATCTATTGTGTTGCCCTGTATTTGTTATGTACCAGTTGTTTAAGCTTAGGCAAGCCATCTAGCTTCTTCCCTTCATCTACAAAGTGAGAAAACATACCTATCCCATTACACTTATGATGAGGCTTCATAATGTTTATGTAAACAAATAGTTACAAGACACCGTGTTGAAGGCTTGATAATGGGCTGTGCAAGTTACAGTGTGGAGCGACCACAGCATTCCTATGAAGTGGATGTAAGAGGAAAGGTAACATTTAATAAGTATTGGCAAGGATGTGGAGAAAAGGGAACCCTTACAGATTGTTGGTAGGAATGTAAATTAGTACAGCTGTTATGGAAAGCAGTATATAAAATATATATAAAATATATATTAAATGGGAGATTACACCAGCCTTTAAAAAGAAGGAAAACCAGCCCTGGCTGATTTGGCTCAGTGGATAGAGTGTCAGGCCTGTGGATTAAGGGGTACTGGGTTCGGTTTCAGTCAAGGGTTTCGGGCTTGATCCCTGGTGGGGAGCGTGCAGGAGGCAGCTGATTAATGATCCTCTCTCATCATTGATGTTTCTATCTCTTCCTCTCCCTTCCTCTCTGAAATCAATAAAAAATATATAAAAATTAAAATAAAAGTAAAAAAAGGAGGAGGAGGAGGAGGAGGAGGAGGAGGAGGAAAACCAGCCCCAGCCAGTGTGGCTCAGTTGGTTGGACATTACAAGAGATTGCTGGTTTGATCCCTGGTCAGGATACATGCCTGGATTGTGGCATGCAGAAGGCAGCTGATGTTCCTCTCTTCTCCCTTCCTCTCTCTCAAAATCAATAAACTATTCTTTAAATTTAAAAAAAGAAGGAAAACCTGTCATTTGCGATAACATGGATGAACCTGGAGGACATTATGCTAAGTGAAATAAGCCATGCACAGAAAGACAAATACTCCATGATCTCATTTATATTTGGAATCTAAAATAGTCAAACTCACAGGAGCAAAGTATAGAATGTGGTTACTAGGGCTTGGTGTGGGGTGAGGGGTGAGGGGGAGAATAGGAGACGTTGTCCAAAGGTTACAAAGTTCCAGTTACGTAGGATGAATAAGTCTAGAAATCTAATGTACAGCATGACTCTAGTTAAAAATACTGTATTAAATACTGGAAATATTCTAAGACTGTAGATTTTAGGTGCTCTCATCACACACAAAAAAGGTAACGATGTAAGGAGCTGATATTTTAATTAGCTTAAGTGTAATAATCATTCCACTATGTCTATCAAATAATCATATTAGGCACCTTAAATATACACTTTTTTTTGTGTGTTATTCCTCACCTGAGGATATGTTTCCACTGATTTTCTTAGAGAGAGTGGAAGGGAGGAAGAGAGACAGAGAGAGAAACATCAATGTGAGAGAGATACATCAATTGGATGCTGACCAGAACCATGGGTTGAGCTTGCAAACAAGGTACATGCTCCTGAACTTGACCAGAATCAAACCTGGGACCCTTCAGTCTACTATCTGATGTTCTATCCACTGAGCCAAACCAGTTCGGGCAAATATATACATTTTTTTAAGAAGTGGCTCATAGCAGTGAATTCACATGGATTTATTAAACATAAACAAAAGCTTTTAAAAAAAAGAAGTGGCTCATAGAGATTAGTAGGAAGACTAAGTCATAAACAATTATAAAGCAATGGAGATTTCCAATTACAGAGATACAAAAACTCTGTGTATGAAGGGAGTACCTAGTCACATAAAGGCAGTATCAAGTGAAAAAAAAGGTGAACATCAAGTGCAATAACAAATATGCGGTTATTGTTGCTATTATTATTATTATTATTATTATTATTATTGCTGCTGCTACTATTTTTGTTATTGTTGTTCTTAGCAAGGTGTAAAAATTGGTAAATATGAATGGGGCTTCAGTGATAGGGAGCTTGCTTTGTTATCAGAAACCCTGTCAAGATTTTTTATCCTATTGTTTTATCAATCCTTCCTATACTTAAATTCCAAGGAGATACAAAGGGCTATATAGGTAAATTGAGGCAGAGTTGCTAAGAGACCACCTAAAGAGGTAAATTCACAGTTAAGTGCCCAGCATAATGCATTGCCCATAGTGGTCCCTCTAAAGAATAGTTATTATCAACTAGTATTAAACTAGTATTATTTTTTGGAGAGAGAGGGAGAAAGAAAGATTGATTTGTTCTTCCACGTATTTATGCATTCACTGGTTGATTGTTGTACGTGTCCTGACGGGGATCGAACCAGCAACCTTGGCATATCGGCACATTGCTCTAACCAACTGAGGTACCCCTCCAGGGCTACAAGGCAAGCGAATGTCAGAAAAGCTTACTTAGGATTAATCAGCTTTTATTTTATTTATTATTTATTTATTTATTTATTAAGTGGCGGGGGCGGGGGTAGGATTAATCAGTTTTTAAACCAAGGTTAGAAGTCTGTTCTCCATGTCCTGTGCTAGGCGCCTGAATGAATTAATCAGACAGGATCTCAGTCCTTGAGGAACTCAGAATCAAATATGGGAAAGAGACGGAAGCAATATATAGTATGGCAGACAAAACAGAATTGTGTGCCACGTATCTGGGCGGCGAGGGATAGCGATCACTTCTGCCTGGAGAAAGCAGTGAAGGTGATACTGGAGCTAGCTGCAGGGGGGGCGGAGTCTGCAGAGGATTTCTGGACATCGAGTCTCAGAAGCTGCCGGAACCAAGGTGCTGCGGGAGTTGAGGGAGTCTCGGTCGGAGATTGTTACGGGACCCGAACAAGGCCAGTCCGTCCGTGTTGTGAGCCGCCCGGGGGCTGCAGCTGCTTGGGTTGATCTTCATTTTGCACAGTAACAGGCCGCAGCAGCAAAGGATGAACGGAACTCTGGGGAAGGTAACGTGGGTTCCACGCGCGCCGCGCGCGGGGGAGGCGGCGGGGAGAGCAGGGCTGGGAGGTGGCCCGGACTATCACCGCCCCTGCAGACATCCGGGTATAGAAAATGGCGAAAACCAGGCTCTTCCCGGCAGCACACGCGGCGCCTTGTAATCCTAGCGCTGCGCTCCCTCCTCTCCGCTCCGGGTGCGCCGGGCCGCACAGTTCTGCGCGCCACGCAATTCCGCCCTCGCCGCCCAGCGGCCTGAAAAGAGACGATCCCCACGACGGGAGTCACAGCACTAGGATAGGCCCCAGATCATTTTATCTTTGTATTAACTCATCAAGTTCCAGAATTTTCCCTAAGAATACCCTTTTTGACTTGAACTGATTGGGATGTGAGGCTACTTGGCGGTAAGGGAAGGGCGGTAGTAAAATACATGTTTACTTATGAAACCGTAAGTGACTGCAGTAGAACCGATGCGCCGCTATGAAGGCATTCCTTGGCCCTCCCTTGTCCTCTTAACAGATCGAACAGATTTCAGTTGTGCTCTGTCAGTTGTGCTTCTCAGAATGATGACTTATTTTTCAGTGATTTATGTCAGAATTTTATTTTCGGTATTAATTGTGGAGACTATATTTCTTCGATGCACATTAGCAGGTTCATCGCTGCTCACGGATCGACTAGTAATTATCTGGGGGCAGCCCCTGAATTTCTCCGGCTTCGTTTCCTTCAGGGCCCAAGTCCACTTGATTCTGCGTGAAATAACTCACTGTGGTTCACCTGAGCCAAATGGTGAGCATTGGGCCAGACCTAGTGAAAGGAAAATAGAAAACAATCAGAAAGTTCCCAGCTTCTGTGGTTAAAGACAGCCAGGCGGGTGGCTCCGTGCTCCTGCTCTGCTCGCCTCGATGCCGAGGATGCTGCGAGGGGGGCCCTGCTTTGACCATTCGGGCTCCAGGCAGCCCATGCAGACCTGCCGTTAGGCCGTCACGTGCGGGCGCTTAGGGCCCTTCCGAGTCTGATGCCGCTGCCCCTTCCCCACCCTTTGTAGACTGTTTCATCCGCCGGCTGCTCGTCCTTCCTTTGCCGAATGCTTAGTTCCTGATCCGTGATCCTGCGGGGCCTTCTCCCTTGAAGTGCCCGCACCGCCTTCCGAACGCTCCATCGGTCAGGCCCAGCTCACCGCTCTTGTCCACAAGATGTCTCTGATTTCGCCGGCTAGCGCGCCTCTTTATTCCCCGAACTCCTGGCTGGTGTTATGTTTTGACACCTAATCATGTGCAGTCTTATGAGCATCGTTGTCTCAGCCTGCCTGGGAGTGTTCGTAATACTTCGCGGTTACGAAGAAAAGCAATGGGAGTCTCTCTCCTGCCAGCTGTATGACCTTAGGCAGGTTATGTGACCTCTCCCCGCTTCAGTTTCACATCTGTAAAAGGCAGGTCACGGTGCCCACTATGTGCAATTGTTGTGTATCATCTAAGACATTATAGAAGATAATGTAAGACTACTTTGTAAGGCACGTAGGACTATACAAATAGGAATAGTGACATTATTCTGTAATTAATAAATGGCTTCACCTGCATAATTTAATTTGATCTTCATAATATTATGAGATGATCCCGGCAGGTACAAGATGAGGATATGGACGCTACTGGCACTGTCTGGTACATAATAGTTTCTCAGATGTTTTCCTGAATGCTTGAATGAATGAACTCCTTGCTTATAGGACAGGAGCCTCTTAAGTGGTAGTACTGAGACTATGGCCTGGGTCAGTGGCCGGCAAACTCATTAGTCAGCAGAGCCAAATATCAACAGTACAACGATTGAAATTTCTTTTGAGAGCCAAATATTTTAAACTTAAACTATATAGGTAGGTACATTGTTATTAACTTAATTAGGGTACTCCTAAGGCTTAGGAAGAGCCACACTCAAGGGGCCAAAGAGCCGCATGTGGCTCGCGAGCCGCAGTTTGCCGACCACGGGCCTAGGTTTTCCATCTAAGACCCCACTGTCTTTCCTTTTCTAAGTATTTCACATCCCCTTACTTTGATAATAATCTTGGTTTTCCTAATCTGTGAAATAAAGAATGAAAGCTTTCCTTGACCTTCCCCATTGTCAATCCTTCCTTTTTTGTGACCTATACAGTCCATCATACTGATCTCACATTGCAATGTAATAAATAATTTGTACATCTGCCATCCTCACTAGAAATATTTAAGGGTAGGCAACTGTATTTTCTTTGTGTTCAAATGTACTCATCTGCAGTAGGTACTGAATGAATAAGTGATTGAATAAATGTTGACATTACATGGTATTTACTTGGTAAAGCTAAGAATAGTACTTCAAACTCCTAGCTCAATTATCTTTCTTCGGGACCCTAAGACATTTTTAGCTTACAACAATCTCAAATTGTAGATGAGAAGCCCAGCTTTACTGGAATAAAACTGGATGGAATCATGTACCTCCTTGGGTCAGCAGAAGTAGTACAGGCCTGGCCGGTGTGGCTAAGTGATTTAGCATTGACCTATGAATCCAGAGGTTGCCAGTTCAATACCTGGTCAGGGCACATGCCCAGGTTGCTGGCTCAGTCCCCAGTACGGGCATGCAAGAGGCAGCCAATAGATGTTTCTATCTCTCTTTCCCTTCTCTCTCTGAAATTAATAAACACTGATAGAGATAGATGTTTCTATCGCTCTCTCCCTTCCTCTCTCTCTGAAATAAAAAACATTAAAAAAAAAAAGAAGTAGTAGAACAGAGTGGATCTGACGAAGACACTAATGCTGATTTTCATCAAACCCAGAATACGTATTGATTGATCCAGATGACAGCCCAGAAAGAGCTACTCAACTATGGGGGCAGATCTCCTAGTTCAAGTGAAACCATTGAGGGCTAACATGGAGCAGAGTTCATATGAACAAGTGACAAATCAACAGACATGAATTAGGAGGACATAAGAAGATAGGAAATAGGAAACAAATGTACAGTGCCTAGAAGGGCAGGGAGTCCAGAATCCCAGGAAAATTATCAAGAAGTTCACTATATCCTGGTCACTACTAGACTGTAAGTGGAGGACAGGGACATTTTCCTACTTTGTTTATGGTTTTATCTTCAGCACCCATCACACACTAAGATATATATTGTTTAGTAAATGAGTAGCTGAACAATCACCACCGCTATCATCAATGCTACTTATTCTACCATTAACAATGTGCCTTGCACTTGCTAAGCCCTTTTTATATATTATCTAATTTAATCATATAAACAATTCTATGAGGTAAATATTTTTATAACCTCTTTAGAGATAAGGAAGTAAGGTTTGGAGGCATTTACTAATTCAATCAGTAAATATTTATTTATTTATTTATTTTTTAGTAAATATTTATTGAGCCCAGCTGGCGTAGCTTAGTGGTTGAGCGTCGACCTTTGAACCAGGAGGTCACAGTTTGATTCCCAGTCAGGGCACATGCCCGGGTTGCAGCTCGATCCCCAGTTTGGGGCATGCAGGAGGCAGCCGATCAATGATTCTCATCACTGATGTTTCTGTCTCTCTCTCCCTCTCTCTCTGAAATCAATTTTTAAAATATTTTTTAAAATGTTTATTGAGCACTTGCTATGTGTAGAAAATGTGCTAGATGCTGGGATGTAGCTTTTTCTGTTTTCATGGAACTTGTATTCCTAGCAAAAGAGACAGATGAATTAAATAGGTAACTTTGTATGATAAATGCCATAAAAGAAAGATTCTGGGTGTTGTATGGATGTGTAACATGCAGGATCCAAGCAAGTCTGCACAGTCAGGAAAGTATTCTGAGGTTGTTACATGACTATGACTTAAAGAATGATAGAACTTTTTCTCTTTTTTTATGATAAAGAGCATGTGCAAAACCCCTGAAATGAGAACACACTGGGAATTTCAGAGGGCCCCAAGGAACTTGGGAGAGAAGCAGTGGGGCTTGGATCAAGGGAGAATGTGCAGAGAAGTATGGGGATGAGAGTTGGGGAGAGAGTAGGGGAGTGGGCTTACAGTTCAGGAGATGACCACAGGTGTTTTGAACTGAATTTAGTCCTGGAGAATGTTAGGGAATTGGGCCATCTAGCAGTTATGATGTGAGGCCAGATATTTCTTTTTTTAAAAAATACTGAGATATCATTCACATACCATAATATTCACCCTTTAAAAGTGGACAACTCAGTGGTTTTTAGCATATTCACAAAACTGTGCAGCTATCACCACTACCTAGTTCCAGAATATTTTCATCACTCCAAAAAGAAACCCTGTGCCCATAACAAGTCACTTTATCATTCCCCAATACCCCTGCCCACCCCCTGGTAACCACTAACCTACTTTCTGTCTCTATGGGTTTGTCTGTTCTGGTCATTTCATATAAATGAAATCATACAGTATCTGAATTCCTTTAGTGAATTCCTTTAGTGAAGCCATGAATTCCTTTAGTGCCTTGCCAAAGCTCATACAGCTAGTAAAATGGAAGTGCTAATATTCAAACCCAGGTCTTTGTGAATTTATAACCGGTGCCCCTAACTGCCATAAAGACTCAGTGCAAAGACCGACTTTGATAGTCTGTCATTCTTTAAGTCATAGCCATGCAACAACCTCAATATCAGAAGAGAATGGCTAGAGGAAAACTATAAACAAAAGCAGTTTTGAAAGAACTTAGAAAAAGGTCAGCTAGAACATATCTACCAGCTATGTGCATTGGACATATTAAGTCACCTTTCTGAGCTTTGGTATCCTCACAGTAAAACGGGAGTAGAAATATCTACCTCACAGAATCGTTGTGAGCAATAAAGGAAATGATGTTTGGCATATAGCAGGTGCTTAACAAATAGGATTATTTAGGCTATTATGAGCATATTCACTTCACTAATATGAATTGGTATTACTCTTTTGAGAGGTAAGTGGCAGAATGGAAATCGTGGGCTTTGGATTCAGTCAGACTTGGGGTTGAATTCTTGGCACCTCTGACCAAGCTTATAACTTTGAGCAATTGAACCTAAGCCTCTGTATTTTCCTCTGTAAAACAGACAATTATCTCAATAATGACTCTACCTTTGGCATAAAGAGTATGTGTAAAGTGCTTAGCACAAAGGATGTACTCAATAAGTAATAGTAAAAATGCTATTTTAGATAATATTTGTTAATATACAGATTTATTCTGTTAGTCTTCATAAAACACCTCTCAGTTGTTTCCTCATGGGCCCCTGACCCCCTGCTGGCACTACCCACTTTGGGGCTCTGGTGTCTAAGGCTGCTCATCCTATATAATGAAAGCCTAATATGCAAAATGACTGAATGGTGGAACTACCAGGGGGGCGGGGGGCAGGCCAGTGAGTGAGTGGTGCCAGGCCAGCCAAGGTGGGTGCCAGTGGGCAGAGGGAGGGGATGCCAATCGGGGGGCGGCAGCAGCAACTGGCGGTGGTGGAGAGGCGATTGGGGGGCAGGACTGGCCACTCGCTGGCTGGAGCTGTCCCCCTATCGGCCCGCCGGTCACCTACCGCAGAGGGAGGCCAGACTGCGGCTTAGGCCCCTGAGGGCTTCCAGACTGCGAGAGGGTGCAGGCCGGGCTGAGGGATTCCCCGCCCCCCGTGCATGAATTTTAGTGCACCAGCCCTCTAGTGAACTATAAGGTTTTGTCCCCTGACTTCTCTTCTTTGGTAGCTGTGAAGTCCTTTCCACTTCTTGGCTCCCAAGCTCCTGAGACAAGTATTTTTATATCCCGTTGTGGCAGCTGTGTCCTCATTCATTCATTCACTAGCATGACTGTCCTCCTCTTCCGTTTGCTCCAGAGCTGGAGCTGCTCTTCATTTGCTGACTGGGAGGAGGGGGTGTTTGTGGATGCAGTCCCAAAATAGATTACTTTGGTCCTGATAAATAATGCTGAGCATTGCAGGGAGAGGAAGCACATTTCCCAGAGCTGAAAGGAAGCAGCGTTCACACCACAGTTTGAATGTCTTCCAGAAAGTTGTCAGCCTTTAAGCCTGGCTTTTAGATAATTACATCCTTTGCTATTGTAGAGACTCTGAACAATTAAAGTGAGGAAAAATCAGTGTCATCTAGATCTTTCTTCCCATCCAATACTTCCTCTGTATGAAGTGACCCATTTAAGAATATATTCTGTTCACTGGATTTCTGTCCTGTTTGTGATGATGGTTGACAGATCTTGGGACTGGAGGAACCTTAGAGTCATTTGTTCTAACTTCAGAGGGAAGCACTAGCCAAGGTACTGTTGACAAAAGGTTGCTGCCACCAATCCAACCCCAACAGGAGTACCCAATTTAGGATGGGGTGAAGGGGCAGAAACTTTACTCACATGAACAGCTTGCAAACCCGGGAAGCACAGCCTCTGGTGGAAACTGAGAAAGTGCACTCCATGAGGACAAAGCAGAGGCTCCCTTATTTAAAGTCCCTGCCCTAATCCCTGATTGGTCCATTTTTATGCAAATGCGGAATACAAATTTGCACATTCTGATTGGTTCAAATAGCACTCCTCTGATTGGTCAGAATCCCATATTCTAATTGGTCATTGTGGAGTTGATCTGATTGGTCAGTAAGTATGCAAATGAGGATATGGTTGAGCAGTTCTCATTGAATGAGGCAGGTCTCAGCCCATTGGTCAAAATATAGTTACCAGGAACTCCTTTATAAGGGTTGACTCTGAACACAGTGCAGGAGATTGGTAACTCAGTCTGTACCTTTTCCCTGAGATGCAGAGTACATCAGAAGCCTCTGTCCCTAATGGCTGCTAGACTCTGGTTAGGAATTTGGACCCAGTTAACCATGAGGATTCCTTTGCAGTTATTTTCCTTCTTAAGGTCCACAATATGGTGGCTAGAGGTGGGGGAGCCAGCTGGCGTTCCTGTTTCCTGGGGCTCACAGCTGCCTACTCTCTATCTTTTATGTTAGGTTAAGCATTTTGCACACATACTTTACAAAGTCTTTTAGTATCTGATTTAATTGTGATTTTTAGGATTGTCAATGTACTTTGTTCTCCCTTCCATCTATTCATCATGACTTCACATACTCTGGGAGACTTTTCCTAAACTTGAACATTTCCTAAGCACCAAAACATTTATTTATGTGAGAGAGGGTGTAAAATAGAAAATTATTTTCTTTGAAATCAGAGAAACCTAAGATCCTATGCTAGTTCTGATAGTAGTTGTTTGGCTTTGGGTAAATTACTTAATCTCAGTTTCCTCAACTGCAAAAATGGGATAATAATACTTAACTTATAAGGGAATTATGATTTAGACACACAGTAGGCATTCAACAGGTAGTAGCATTGCTTATCACTTCTTTCTAATCATTTATTTATTCACCAAAACAAACCTTGATTGAATGTCTACAAGGTGCCTGAGAGGAATATGACAGTATATTACCCTTGCCCCTGAGGATCTCTTGGTTTAGCATACTGATCTATGGGTGATGTTAAGAGTTTTAGTCAATCTCTTGAAGTAGTATGTCTATTTATGCCTATATGTATTTGTCTGGGAAGAAGATTCATGTCTTTGAGAAAATTCTCAGCAATGTCTTTAATACTCCGAAAGCTAAGAATTTCTCTGGCCATCTCTGCCTGGATTTCCTGCCCAAAGTGCTTGTTCATGGGACTTATTGTGACTTAATCATATAATGCTTATACTATTGCTTAGCTGTTTGACAGAAATGTATACCATATGCCCAGCCATTTGAACTATGGGGTAGGGATTGTGCTTACATTTCTTTCCCAACTTTTTAAAATTGAATTTAGAGAGAGGAAGGAAGAGAGAGAGAGAGAGAGAGAGAGAGAGAGAGAGAGAGAGAGAGAGAAACATCGATGTGTGAGCAAAACATCAATCAGTTACCTCCACACATGCCCAGACTGGGTGGCTGAACCTGCAACCTTGTGCCCTGACCTTATGATGTACTAGATGACACATCAACCAACTGAGCCACACCTGCCAGGGCTGTGCTTATATTTTTTAACAGATTTATAGAGATATAATTCAAGTACTATATAATTCACCTATTTAAAATGTGCAATTCCATGGCTTTTAATATATTCAGAGTTGTGCAACCATCACTACAATCAATTTTAGAACATTTTCATCATCGAAAAAACCCCATATACCTTGGCTGTCATTCCCAGCTCCTCAGATCCTCAGCCCTAGTCAACCACTAATCACTTTCACTATAGATTTGCCTATTCCCAGTTTTTCATATAAATGTAGTCATACAATATTTGGCCCTTGTGACTGATTTCTATCACTTAGCATAATATTTTCAAAGTTTATTCATGTTACATTTTTTTTATTTTTTAAATATATTTTTATTGAGTTCACAGAGAAATGGAGAGGGAGAGAGAGATAGAAACATCAATGATAAGGGAATCATTGATTGGCTGCCTCCTGCATGCCTCACACTGGGGATCCAGCCCACAACCCAGGCATATACCTTGACAGGGAATTGAACTGTGACCTCCTGGTTCTGGTTCATAGGTCAATGCTCAACCACTGAGCCACACCAGCCGGGCACATTTTGTTTTATATTCCCTTTAATATTCAGCACAGTACTGTAGTTGGCACATAATAATAGTCTTTTTGTTTATTTTATAATAGTCTTTTTAAAAATAAACTTTAAAATTTGTGCAAGAGTAGGCCTTCCTTCCCCCGGCTGCCAGCACCGGCTTCCCTCTGGCACCCGGGACCCAGGCTTCCCTTGCAGTCCGGCTTCATCCGGAAGGTCATCTGGTCTAATTAGCATATTACGCTTTTATTATTATAGATAATTTCTTGGACTGTAACCTCAGTGGGCCTTAGTTGCCTCATCTATAAAATTGCTTTCAAGTGTTTTGAGAATTAGGGAAGAAGTTAAGAAAGTCTGTTGCACGGTGCCTGTGCTTGGCAGAAGCATCATAGTTGTTGATCGATATTAGAAAAATAGATCAAATTAGAAAGGGGAAACAAGGTTTTTTCTTTAAAAAACAAAAAGCACTCCCCCTCTCCCCCCCGGGTGCAGGATGGAAGGGGGGCTTCTGTTTTTTGAGCATTTTCTGTAGTGGGTGGAATAAGAAGGGAAAGATGACCTTGGTTTGCCTGCATATTTAAGATTAACTATAGGACAGCTTCTTTGCCTGACAAGAGCCTTTGGGTCCTTTTGGTTTGTGTACTGAGTTCTAGCCTCTTTGTGAAGAGATGCTTGGAAGTTTATCAGTGCTTAAGATTGTCCTAACATTGTTATTTTGCTGTAGGTGCTGTGTTTGAAGAATGATACCATTTTTAAGAAAGCCTTTCCTCTCTTAAGGTAAGGATATTAATAATAATAGTTGAATATAGTTAACATTTGCATTCTGCCAGATAATTCACACAGCATTTTTCTTTCATCATCTCCACTTGCATGTCTACTAAGCATCTTGAGCATGAACACCTCTGCCATCTTGCTCTTTTTTATTTATTTATTTTTTTATTTCAGAGAGGAAGGGAGAGGGAGAGGGAGAGAGAAACATCAGTGATGAGAGAGAATTGGTGATCAGCTGCTTCCTGCACGTCCCCTTCAGGGGATGGAGCCCACAGCCCAGGTACGTGCCCTTGACTGGAATCAAACCTGGGACTCTTCAGTCTGCAGGCTGACGCTTTATCCAATGAGCCAAACCAGCTAGGGCATGCCATCTTGCTCTTTATCCATTCTCAGTGAATGACAACCCCATTCATCTGGTTGCTTAGGCCAGAATCCTTGGAGTGATCCTTGACATTGTTATTTCTCTCACTCTACATCTAATTCTTTAACAAATCCTGTTGGCTCAACTTGTGAAATATTATAGAATTAAACCAGATTCAGGTCTCAAACTATTTGTTTTGCTAAACTACTAGGGACCAGCTCCTTATCTTCCTAACACGTTAAGCGCCAAGCCTGTATTGTCTTCCTTTCCGTTTAGCCCACAATATCCGATTTCACCGATATGCTGGCGGCATCAGTGACTGACCGGTCCAGACAGAAAGTATAGTGTCAGTCACTGATGACTGACATGGCACTTAACGTATAAACTACAATTATGCTGCCTTCTAAGTGGTCTCACTGCCTTCACTTTTGTCTTCTATCCTTTGCACTAAAATCAGAGTGATTCTTTTAAAATTGAGTTAGCTCATGTTACTTCTCTCTCAGACTTTCCCATCTTAGTCAAAATAAGTTCTACAATCCCACCATGGCTTACAAGTCTTTATCTAATCTGTTCCCTCATTGTATACTTCTACTTACTCACTGGCTCCCTTTCTATTCCTTGATGACATAACCATTCTCCCACCTAAGGATCTTTGCACATTCTCCCCTCAGATATCCATATAGTTTGTCCTCTGACTTTATTCAGGTTTGTGCCCAAATGTTGTATCATCAGGGAGGCCTTCTCTATCTACACCTCCCATCAATCTCTGTCCCCTTACCTTTATTTTTCATAGCAGGTATTACCACTTGACACATTTTATATATATGTATGTGTATATATATTTAAATTATCTGTCTTCCTCACCCTGCCCACTAGAATATAATCATCATATGGATAAAGACTTGCTAGTTTTGTTTACTTCTATATCCCAAGGGCCTAGAATGGTGTCTGACACATAGTAGGCATTTAATAAATACTTGTTGAATGAATTAATAGTTCTTCATAATTATCAGGTGAGGCATGTGATATTATCTCAATTTTATGCATAAATAACTGAGGTTCAAAATGGTAAATCAATTGCTTAAAGATGACATAGCTAATATAAGTTGGAGTTAGGATTCAAACCCAAGTTGTTCTTTCACTCTTCTGTATTTACAGTATGCTACCTCCCCATTGTTTTTTCTCTGGGTGATAATGAAGAGCATTTGGCAGTTTATTTCTCTATTCATCAGATATCCACAATGTCTTATGCATGGCAGCCACATGATATAAAACAATGAATTGAATATCTTCCTGACCACATGAGCCTGGATGAATTCTTTAATCCTTTACATTTATTGAAGCCTTTTCCTCTTATTCCCTTTCCATCTTAATCTATTTTTCCATTAGTCAGTCAGTTATTTAATATGTATTTACTATGGCACCATGCTAGGCATTTTACATGTTCTCACATTAACAAAAACACTACAGGACAAATATATAAATATTGTTATTTTACAAAAGAGGTATCTGGCCTTGGCCAGGTAGCTGTTGGTTAGTGTCGTCCTGATATGCCAATGTTTTGGGTTCAATCCTCAGTCAGGGCACATACAAGAATCTATGAATAGTTCTGGTCAATGTTGTTCAATGTTCTGTTCAGTGTTGAGAGCATCTGTCTGAGGACTGAAGGATCCAGGTTCGATTCCCGATCAAGGGCATGTACCTGGGCTGCAGGCCCGATCCAGGCCTAGGTGGGGTGTGTGCAGGAGGCGGCCAATCAATATATCTCTCTCACATCGATGTTTTTCTCTCTCTCCCCCCTCCCTTCCTTCCTCTGTCTCTCTCTGTGAAATCAATAAATTTAAAATAAAAAAGAGGAAACTGGCTCAGAGAGTTTAAGATACATTTTCAGTCCCATGAGATGAGGTAACTATGTTACAGAGACACAAAACAACTTGCCTAAGGTCACAGTTTGGAAATGGTGGAATCAGCATTTAATCACAGATCTGCTTGTCTCTAACTTGTCCCACGGTTTAGCATCAAAGCTTTGCAGGATACTGAATTAAAATACTCTGATTACTTAGTCAACCAAACAGAACCATTTTAAATTATGTACTTATTTATTATTGTTGTTGTTATTGATTTTAGAGAGAGGAAGCGGGAGGGAGACAGAAAGAACATTGATGTGAGAGAGAAACATTGATGGGTTGCCTCCTGTTGTGCCCTGACCAGAGATCAAACCTGCAACCTGTTGGTGTATAGGATGACACTCCAACCAAGTGGGCCACCTGGCCAGGGCCAAACAGAACCATTTTATTCTCCTCCATATTCACTGGCTTCTGTATCCAGTGTAGCTCTCATTGCTGTCCCTTCCTCTCCATCTTCCCTGAGCATGTTCTAATGCAAGGCTGTTATAAGAACCACCTCACTAGTTCACTTGCCTCAGTCTCACCTCTTCCCATTCATTTCTCACCTACTGTCAGGGTTAACTTCCAAAACTTAACCTTGATCATGTCACTCCTGTGCGTAAATTCTGCCAGGAGCTTCCCACTGCCTATACAGAATAAAGACCAAACTCCTTCGCACAGCACACGAGGTTCTTTATAACCTGACTCCCTATTACCTCTTTCACCCTGTTCCCTTCCCTGCAGCTTAAATTCCACTTACGTCCAGCTGCTTGCTGTTCCCTAAACTTACCACTTTTATCCCTCTGCTTAGAATGCTTTACCTGTTAGGGTAAGTAATCCAGAACAGTTCATTTTTAAAGCTCAGCTCAAAAAGTTTCACCTCCCTGGTGGAAATGATCACACTTTCCTTTGTGTTTCACCAAATCATGTACATGTTTTTGTTCTGGATCAGTACTATACTGTGGTTCGCATTTGTTTACAACTCTCTCCCAACTAGACCATAGATAGAGACATTTACTTTGTATTTTTGTATCCTCAAGACCTAAGCACATTGGCTGGCACATAGTAGGTACTTAATATTTGTGGAAAGGAGGGAAGGAGGAAATATCTGGCATTGACTTATCCTTGATGAGGAGTATACAAGTTTTGATAACTGCAAATAAATAGCAGGTATCTAATTGTATTCACCGTACTCTCTCTTTTTAGGTTCAGAACTTCAGGAGAGAATCCCATTTGTTCTGCAGGTAAGCATTTTTTTCCTGGTGTAGTCTACTTACTTTAAGTGACTCTCTGGCACGCTAATAATTTTTCTACAAGGATGCCTAACATATCTTTGAGAAGAGTGGCTGGGACCAGATCCAAGCCCTCACATGGAATAGGGTAGTGGGCAAGAACATAAAGAAATGGTTAGGAGCAAGAGCTCTACAGTTTGTTTAGATTCCAACTCTAACTCATATTTATTGTGTGACCTTTGGCTAATTCCCCATAACTTCATTTCCTCACTTTTACAAAATAGGGATAATTAGGCCATGGCCAGATAACTTAGTTGGTTGGAGCATTGTCCCAATGCACCAGGGTTGTGGGTTCGATCCTTGTTCAGGGGACAAACAGGAGTCAATCAATGAATGCATAAATAAGTGAAACAACAAATCAATGTCTGTCTGTCTGTCTGTCTCTCTCCCTCTCCCTCTCCCCACCTTCTCCTTCCCTTTCTCTTCTTTTATCTCTAGGATCAATCAATAAATAAAAATTTAAACATGGGGATAATTATAGTACTAACTACAGTGAATTATTTGGAGACTCAGTGAGGTAAAACACATAAAGTGCTCAAAAAGTTAGATGTTTTTGTTATTATTTCTATTATTAGTGTTACTATTCCAGACTTATTTTTCATGTCTATCATCTGCCAGGCTAGGGCTTTTCTCTTTGTATTTTGTAATGACTGTCCATTCAATCTGATTAACTCAGTGGTTCTCAACCTTCCTAATGCCGCAACACTTTAATACAGTTCCTCATGTTGTGGTGACCCCCAATTTCTTTGTTACAAATTGAACATAATTAAAGCATAGTGATTAATCACAAAAACAATATGTAATTATATATGTGTTTTCCGATGGTCTTAGGCAACACCTGTGAAAGGGTTGTTCGACCCCCAAAGGGGTCGCGACCCACAGGTTGAGAACCACTGGATTAACTCAATAAATTTTAATCTGTTTCAATCTAATTATTAACCATTTTTGCTTTGTCTATTATGTGAGAAATTTCAAAGCAATTGTTGTATTTCAATGAAATCTGTCATTTTTCTAAAGAGGAATGGGAGTAAAGAAGGGAACTAATATTTACTGAGTGCTTAATATGTGCCAGGCAATGTATAAGAAGTTTGATATCTGTTAATTCTTTTAGAAGATGGCTGCAATGTATAGAGAATCACCATTTCTTTTAGCCCTAAAGCCCAGCATCTCAAAATATGGGCTTCTTTTTATTACTGGTTCTCTCAGCAAACATTTATTGTACCAGGATATGTGTTAGGTGCTGAGGATATAAAATTAAGAGGATACAGTCCTTGCCATTTGGAAGCTTACAGTCTTGTAAGAAATAATTCTCCCCCCAAGAATACTACAATGAACACTTATGTACCTACCACTTAGATTTAACTGTTGTTAACATTTTCCTTCTGTATTAGACATCATGATACTTCACCTTTAAATACTTCAGCATGCATTTCTAGAAATAAGAACATTTTCTACATTCTGTTAAAGAGACACAAAACCATTATCTCACGCAAGAAAATTCTGTATAATAAAAGGCTAATATGCAAATTGACCAAACAGCGGAATGACCAGTTGCTATGAAATGCACTGACCACCAGGGGGCAGATGCTCAATGCAGGAGCGCTCTGGTGGTCAGTGCGCTCCCACAGGGGGAACGTTGCTCAGCCAGAAGCCAGGCTCATGGCTGGCAAGTGCAGCAGCGGTGGCGGGAGCCTCTCCCGCCTCCCAGGCAGCGCTAAGAAGCAGCAAGCCCGGCTTCTGGCTGAGTGGAGCTCCGACAGGGAAAGCTGGGCTCACGGCTGACGAGTACAGCAGTGGTGGCAGGAGCCTCTCCCGCTTCCGCAGCAGTGCTAAGGATTCTTCAGGGGATGTCCGCCTGCTGGCTTAGGCCCATTCCCTGTCAGCAGTCGGACATCCCCTGAGGAGTCCCGTACTGCGAGAGGGCGCAGGCCGGACGGAGAGACCCCTCCCTCCCACCTCCGCTGCCCCCAGTGCACGAATGTCGTGCACCGGGCCTCTGGTTAATAATAATGCCCCAATATCATCTAATACCTTATCCACTTCCCCAATTGTCCCCAAAATGTCTTTTGTGAGCTTGTTTATAAACAAAAGCCAATAAAGTTTTACACTATGTATTTCACTATTCTGTTACTTTTAATCTAGAAGAGCTCTACCACTTTTTTCCTATAACAGTGACTTTTTTTTTCCTTTTTTGAAATTGTTTTTTATTGTACAGACATTTTAGAGCCCTTAATGGGAAAGGACAGAAATATATTTTTCCTGACTACATTTATAATGGTAATGTTACAGACATAAAAGAAAAATGTCACAATTCTTCTACCATAAAAATCTATTTGTGTTTAAGCCCTTGTTATAACAGTGACTTTTTGATTGGGCCAGTCCGTTTGTCTTATAAAATGTCCTCCTTCCTTGATTTGTCTGATTCTCATGGTGTTGTGTAACATGTTCTTTGGTCCCCTTCCAACAAACTGAAAGTTAGATCTACAAGCTTGACTAGATTTAAGTTAAACAGTTTTAGCAAGAAAACCAACTGATGCTCTGAACTTCATTTTGCATCCTGTCAGATTTAAAAAGAAATAGCAAAATGTCTGATTATAAAAGTGAAAAACATACATTTTAGAGAATATGGAAAACACACACACACACACACACACACACACACACAAAGAAGCTGAAAAAGCTGCAGAAAACTTCTAATCCTACCATCCTTAGGTTACTGCTTAACATTTTAGTGTATATCCTACCAGGTCTTTTTCTAGGTCGGTCTCTCTCTCTCTCTCTCTCTCTCTCTCCAGATATATATGCATGTGGGAACCAATGATGATATATTATGCTTTATCATTTCCTTTTTCCCACTTAATCTATAGTGAACATTTTATAATGTTCACTATATATAATAAAAGCCTAATATGCAAATTGACTGAACGGTGGAACAACTGGCGGAATGAGCAGTCACTATGATGCGCACTGACCACCAGGGGCAGACGCTCAATGCAGGAGTTGTCCCCTGGTGGTCAGTGCGCTCCCACAGGGGGAGTGCCGCTCAGCCAGAAGCTGGGCTCATGGCTGGCAAGCGCAGCGGAGGTGGTGGGAGCCTCTCCCACCTCCGTGGCCGCGCTAAGGAGCAGCGAGCCAAGTGGTAAGGAGCAGCGACCAGGCGGGTGGTAAGGAGCGAGGAGTCCCAGACTGTGAGAGGGATGTCTGAGGCGTCCTGGACTGCAGAGGGTGCAGGCTGGGCTGAGGGATCTCCCCCCCCCCCAGTGCATGAATTTCATGCACTGGGTCTCTAGTAATAAATAAATAGATAGATAATCTATATAATTATTTTGAATGTATTGCCTTAAGAGAAACAATTTGAAGAGGACGATTCTGAGTCTGATTTTGAACATGTTGAATTGAGTGCTTGTGAGGAGGATATATTAAGTAGCCTATTGGATACATTGATCTTGAGCGTAAATATAGGTTTGGGTTGAAGCTGTAAATTTGGAAGTCATCATAGTGTCCATCTTAAGTCATGGGAATGAATGAAACCACCTAAGGAGAACAAGTAGAGAAGAGGCCCAAGGATCAGGCACCTGGGGAACTTCAACATTAAAAAATTGGATAGTGCCGAAACCAGTTTGGCTCAGTGGATAGAGCGTCGGCCTGCAGACTGAAAGGTCCCAGGTTCGATTCCGGTCAAGGGCATGTACCTGGGTTGCGGGCACATCCCCAGTAGGAGATGTGCAGGAGGCAGCTGATCGGTGTTTCTCTCTCATCGATGTTTCTAACTCTCTATCTCTCTCCCTTCCTCTCTGTAAAAAATCAATAAAATATATTAAAAAAAAAAATTGGATAGAGAATGAAAGAGATGGCGAATAGGATTGAAAATAGGAGGCCAAAATGATAGAAGAAAACCAGGATAGTATAGTTTCATGGCAAACAAAAGTAGTATTAAACCTTTTGTATAAATAAAAAAGAAAACTCAGATGCCAGTCACCATTTTTGAAACCCTTCAGTGGTTTCAAAAAGCAAGGCTGGAAGTGACTTTTGAGGTGATTACATTTCTCAGGTAAAAGTGCCACAAATGCTTGCCATGAGGTCTCATCTACTGAAATTCCTTGGCAAGGAGGCATTTTCAAATGCAGTTTAGGACAATTCCTATATTTAGAGCAGCTGGTTAATTAAGAAGCTGAATCAAACTACTGTTAAATTACCATTTTCCTCCTTAAATGAAAGGTTTTGGTCAAATTACCAGTGGTTAAACTGCTTAATTAGGCAGTTGTTTTAATTGTAAAATTTATAAGTTTGAAAGCCTCTGATTTTGATAAGTTCAACTGAATCCCCCCTCTTTCATGTCATTAATCTGGGTTTCCTGCTGTCACATTAACATTGCAGCCTCCTGAGAGAAAAGGCAACTCTTTTCACTGAAGAAAACAAAACCCCAGGGTTTTAAAAGGAGGCTTTGAAAATCTTTCAGTTAACACAATTACTGCATGTAATCATGTAGTGACTTCTCCCACCTCACACCCCTTCCTGTATATATGCCAGAGCCACTGTCCTTCATTGTCCTTGTTTACTAAACTCAATTATTTCTCCTTCAAAATAGTAACAAGTGTATATAGTAGGGCTATTCGGGAGTAAAAAACTGGGGTAGCCCCAGCCAAGAATTAATTACGGGACATTCTCTCCATTCAACAGACTGCATGTCCCTGATATAACCTACTCAGCACCTGGCAAATAGTATGTGCTCAGAAGTGTAGGTTTACAGTTGGTTCTCACGACTGTAAACTTACTTTTGCCCACCCCTGTAGTGCTTCGTACATAGTAAATACTTCTTTAAAAATTGTGTGTGTGAAATGAATAAATGGTTGAATTAATGAAAGAGAATAACTTAATTAGGTCAATGTTTTAGAAAGATTAATCAGTAAGCTCGCAGTGGTCGGCAAACTGTGGCTCGCGAGCCACATGCGGCTCTTTGGCCCCTTGAGTGTGGCTCTTCCACAAAATACCGACTTCTGCGCATGGACCACGAAGTTTCAATCACACTGTACGTGCGCCCGCACGTGGTATTTTGTGGAAGAGCCATACTCAAGGGGCCAAAGAGCCGCATGTGGCTCCCCAGCTGCAGTTTGCCGACCACTGCTCTAGAGGATAGCATAGAGGGGGAGATATTTTGAGATCACCAACAATAACTTAGCCAAGACTACCATTTGAATCTCCTATCCCTTCCATCTATACTTCCTCTCCCTACTCCCTTTTCCTCACAACAACCAGTGATATTTTAAAAACACATCAGACATATAATTTCCCTGCTTATGGCTGTTCAGTCTGAAATCCAAACCCTTAACAAGGCCCAGTGTGGTTTTTTTCTGACCCACTGCTCTAGTCTCTGATACTCTCCATGCCCCTCTCACTTTGCGTCAGCCACACTGAAAACCAAAGCTGTGTCCCACATTGAAGCCTTTACACATGCTGTTTCCTCTGCCTGAAACATTCATCCTCTATCTTTTCACTTAATAAACTCTTCCTTGCCTGTCAGGTCTCAGTGTATTTTATTTATTTTTTTGAATAGGTAATACATGTGCATGGAACAAGTTTTAAAAGCTACAAAAGAATATAAAATAAACAGTAAATGTCCCTCTCCTCCTGCTTTCTAGCCACTTTCTCTCCCTGGGGATAAACACTATTACCATTTCCCTCTGAATTCTGGTCTCAGTTCACATGCCATTTTTTCAGAAAGGCCTTCTCTGATACTACAATCTAAAATAGATCCTCCGAGCCCTAGCCGGTTTGTCTCAGTGGAAAGAACATCAGCCTGTGGACTGAAGGGTCCCAGGTTCGATTCCGGTCAAGGGCACATGTCTGGGTTGAGGGCTCCTCCTCGGCCCTGGTTGGGGCATGTGCAAAGGCAACCAATCACTGGGAAAATATCCTCAGGTGAGGATTAAAAAAACAAACAAACAAAAAACAACAGGTAAAATAGATCCTCCGATTGTATTGCCATAACCCTCTGTGCTTTTTCTTTTTATTCTCTCAACTTGGAATTTTATATTTATTTTGTGACTGTTCCATTAATGATACCTTCCTCCCTCGAGACTGTCAGCTCCGTAAGTGGAGTTTTGTTGGCCTTGTCTACTTTTTTGCTGTTATTGTTAATCCTCCCCCAAAGATATTTTTTTCCATTGCTTTTTAGAGAGAGTGGAAGGGAGGGGGAGAGACAGAGAGAGAAACATCAATGTGAAAGAGACACAGCAATTGGTTGCCTCCTGCACATGCCCCACCAGGGCCAGAGATCGAGCCTGTAACCAAGGTACATGCCCTTGACCAGAATTGAACCTGGGACCCTTCAGTCTGCAGGCGGATGCTCTATTCACTGAGTCAAACTGGCTAGGGTGGCCTTGTCTACTTTTATATCCCCCACTCTTAGCACAATGCCTGGTACATCATAAGTATGCCTTTTTCTGTAAACTCATCTCTTGCCAACCTGGTCCTCCTGTTCTGCCTTGAAATTCTCTCTGGCTCTTCCCCTCTCTATACCATGTTCTCTCCTCACTAACTCGTAGTCATCCTTCACGTTTTACTTAAAAGCCACCTGCTCTAAGAATTCTTTCCCAACACCTCAAGTCTGGCCTCAGTGCCCCTCCTATGTATGGCCCTGCATTGGTATTACTGTTTCCCCGCTAGATCATAGGTTCTTTATTGCAGGGACTGTGTCTTTGTCTATTCTTATAGCCCCAGCTTCTAAAGGCATTGCGTACCAAGAGTCCTGCCATAGATATTGGGTTGATTACACACTGCATAACTCTAGTGTGTGCCAGTCACGTGGTATAATTGTCACTGGTTACCCTGATGGGAAATAATAAATACTTATTAAGTGAGTGAACATGCTTTGAAGAGTTCAGTGCTTTCTCAAGGTCATGATGAAATCTTGTTGGATAAGATTAATTTGCAAGGCTCTGGTCTGAGGACCGCTGTGTATTCATCAGGAGGATTTGGATATCACCTTCTTGGGTGGGGTCCCAGATTGTAGAGTTGGAACCCGAAGACTCAAAGGGTCAAATGTCTTAGATTCAGAGAGACAGAATTGGGACAGTGGCTAAGAACACACCCCAGTTACTTTCAGTGCTCTTAGGGAACCTCTCCCCCAAATACCTCCTCCCTTGTGTGGTTAAACACTCCTCTTCCAAGGATTCAGCTTTTACCTCTGCTGAGCCTATTGCCCTGCACCCTTCCCCACTGCTTCCCCCAATGCAGAGTTAGTTTTTGTCCCTCTAGGCACTCCCTACCTTGCACTCATCTCCATTTAAGTATTTTTTTTATTTTTTTCCCATTTAAGTATTTTGTACACCATAATATAATTATCTGCTTTCCCATCATCCTTGCCCAGTATACACTGAGTGTCTAAAACTAGATGATTTTAAAAACGTTGTAGAAATCTATGATTGTCCTCATACCTGGTTATATTTGCTACCTGTCACTTTCTCTGTACAACCTGTAGAAAACTTCAAAAGAATTATTGCCTGTGGAGGGACAAGAGGAAATGACAACCCTGTGAGAATTTATTTTGTCCCTATACCACCAGTGGCTCTAGCAGGAGAGAGTTTCTCAAAGAAAGATAGGTAGTGGGACTGGATATAGTCCAGTGGGCAAAAGGAGAGAAAGGGTGGGGAAAACTGAGAGTTAGCCCAGGATAATAAAACAGCTCTGGTTCTTTAAACCAAATAGTCCCAGTCTTGCAATGGAGAATTTGCCTACTCACCTCATATGTGATCTGTTCCTGGAAGAGCTTTGAAACACATTTGTCTTATTTTCTCTCTTTTAGGTGGTATTCTACTGAGTACCAGCCGGCACTATAAGACAAAGCCCACCCATGGCATTGGAAGATACAAGCACTTAATTCAAGAACAAGAGGTAAAGGGGGCAGGGTCCTTCAGAAGAGGAGAGTGTGCAGCTTTTGCAAACACCCAAAGATCAGATCTGCATAGGTTGGCTAGTATTAGAGCTAGAAAGAATAGGGGGTCATCCCTCAGTCCTCTCCAGTTACTTAGTTTCAAAATTATCCAGAGTGGAGATGTTTCTGCCAGGTCCCAGTCTCTTCCCTAGGCCAGGTTATCATAGTGAAAAGCAAATGATTTAGTTTTATTATTTGTGATGCTTTAAAAAATATCCTAGTACTTAGTACTTAGTACTTAGTTCCTAGTTCCTAGTACTTAGCTTAGTATGGACCTCACAATGGAAATAATACATCCAGTTTAGCTGAGTGAATGGTGGCTAGTAGAGGTGGACTGCTGTTTTCAGCCAACTAGCTGAGTTTTACAGTGTTTGCAGATTTAAAATATGTATTCATTATCACAGATAATTGGGAGTTAGTTCTAATTATTATAAGACTAGAGGCCCGGTGCACGGCATTTGTGCATTCGGGGGGGTGAAGGGGTCCCTTAGCCCAGCCTGCACCCTTTGTAATCCAGAAGCCCTCAGGGGATGTCAGACTGAGGCTTAGGCCCGCTTCCCATGGGACATCCTTAGTGCTGAGGTGGGCCGCTGAGCTCATCAGCCATCACCCCGGCTTGTGGCTGAGCGGTGCTCCCCCTGTGGGAGCGCACTGACCACTAGGGGGCAACTCCTGTGTTGAGCGTCTGCCCCCTAATGGTCAGTGTGCGTCATAGCGACTGGTGAACCTCCATTTGGTCGATTTGCATATTACCCTTTTATTATATAGGACTAGAGGCCTGGTGCACAAAAATTTGTGCACTTGGGGGGGAGGGGGCGTCCCTCAGCCCAGCCTGTGCCCTCTCGCAGTCTGGGACCCCTCGGGAGATAACGACCTGCTGGCTTAGGCCTGCTCCCAGGTGGCAGAGGGCAGGCCCAATCCCTAGGTGCAGCCCCTGGTCGGACTCAGAGCAGGGCCAATTGGGGATTTGGGGCGCCGCCCCCTGTCATGCACAGAGCAGGGCGGATTGGGAGGTTGCGATGCCACCCTCAGTCACTCTCAGGGTAGGGCCGATTGGGGGGTTGGGGCACTGCCCCCTGTCACACTCAAGGCAGTGTCGATGGGGAGGTTGGGGCACCACCCCCTGTCACGCACAGAGCAGGGCCCATCAGGGGGGTTGGGGCTCTGTACCCTGTCATGCACAGAGCAGGGTCGATCAGGGGGTTGGGGAGCTCCCCCCTGTCACACACAGAGCAGGGCCCATCAGGGGGTTGGGGAGCTCCCCCCTGTCACGCACAGAGTAGGGCCGATAGGGGAGTTGGAGCACCGCCCCCTGTCACACACAGAGCAGGGTGGATCAGGGGGTTGGGGCGCCGCACCCTGTCACACTCAGGGCAGGGCCAATGGGGAGGTTATGGCTCTACCCTGTCACACACAGAGCAGGGCCCGTGGGGAGCGGTTGGGGTATCGCCCTCTATCACCCACAGAGCAGGGGCAATCAGGGGGTTGGGGCGCCACCACTGTCACACTCAGGGCAGAGCCGATGGGGAGATTTTGGCTCTACCCCATCACACACAGAGCAGGGCCCGTGGGGGGTGGGGGGGGACGCCGCACCCTGTCACACACAGAGCTGCAGGGCGATCAGGGGGTTGGGGAGCTCCCCCATATCAGGCACAGAGCAGGGCTGATCAGGGGGTTGGGGTGCCTTCCCCTGTCATGAACAGAGCAGGGCGGATAGGGAGGTTGTGGCCCCGCCCCCTGTCACACACAGAGCCGCAGGGCGATCAGGGGTTTGGGCGCTGCCCCCTGTCACGCTGATCCCGGTGCCGGGAGGCCTCGCGGCTCTGCTGATCCTGGTGCTGGGAGGCATATTACCCTTTTACTATATAGGATAGAGTCCTGGTGCACGGGTGGGGGCTGGCTGGTTTGACCTGAAGGGTGTCCTGGATCAGGGTGGGGGTCCCCACTGGCCAGCCTGATAAGGGGATGATGGCTGTTTGCAGCTGGTCACACACCCTTCAGGGTGGGGGTCCCCACTGGGGTGCCTGGCCAGTCTGGGTGAGGGGCTGAGGGCTGTTTTCAGGCTGGTGGGTGACTGAAGCTCCCAACCGCTCCTTTTTTTTCTTTTTCTTTTTTATTCTGGGCCAGCTTTAGCTCTGAGGCTTGGCTCCAGCTCTTAGGCCTCTGCTGCTGAAAGCAGGTATCTGGTTTGTTTGGGTTCTATTTTCAAAACACTGTTTCAGCTCCAGCTCTGAGATCCCGGCTGGCTGAAAGCAGGTTTCTGGGGTTTTGTTTAGCTTCTATATTTGTAACAGTGTTTCAAACTGCAAGCTCAGAGGCCGGCAGTGGCAGGTGGGGAACGTTGGAGTCCTCTGTCACTGAAGCAAGCAAGCCTCATATTCACTTCAAGCTGCCTGGCTGCTGGCTGCCATCTTGGCTGGCAGTTAATTTGCATATCACCCTGATTAGCCAATGGGAAGGGTAGCAGATGTACGGCTAATTACCATGTTTCTCTTTTATTAGATAGGATAGGATTATTTAGCCTACTTCTCTGGCTCCAGCTGCAAGATTGCTTCTGGGTAGTTAGATTTCTGTGCATGTGCAGAGGATTTTCTGGTGGGGTGAACACAACACGCCTGAAAGTCAGAAGGTCTGGCTTTGAGTCATGATTCTATCACTTCCTGTAAAAGGTACAGTTAAGAAGATTTTGCATTTCTAATGAGGAGTCTTCAACATTACTTTTGGTTCTTGGGCTTATTTTAATGTTCCCTGTAACCATGCACATCTCCCATTGCCTCTCTCTCCTTGGCAAAAGCTAAATACCACTGTCCTTGGGCTTCTGAATCCCCTAAGCTTGTCATGTTCTCTTAAGCATCATCCTTATATCAAGGAATTTCACTAGAAGAACATTGCCATGTCCAAGACTTGTATCAGGCAGCCTCCCAGCAGGAAACAGCCCAACTAAAATTATTCGTTTGTAATGGGAAGTGTACGCAATTGGGAAACAGGAAAGTTATGTTCTAGGCTTGGTTCTGCAACTCATTAGCTTTGTGACTTTGGATAAATTAACCTTAGTCCTCTGGGCATGGTGGGCCCTGAAATTTTATGTAAAATGTTTTCTATTTGTGACTTTTTCTGAGAGAAGAGTCTGTAGCTTTTTTCAGGCTCTTCAAAATGGTTGAGAAGTTCCAGATTAGAATGTCTTTAGGAGTTTTTTAGTTTTGATATCCTGTAACTCCATGATGCTATGAAATATTAATCAAACACCTGCTATGTAGTAGGCATTATTGGGGGCGACTTGCCTATGTAAACTGGGTTGCAATAACATTTTACAGGTTGGATGAACAAGATCTGGTTCATGCTCAGAGGGAGCTGGTAAACCATTAGAGATAAGACGTAGGTGATTATGTTCCCAAGCAGAAAACGACAAGTGCTAAAAGGAAGATATAAAGTACTATTAAATACCCTGGCTGGTAGCTCAGTTGGTTAGAGCATTGTACTGATATATCAAAGTTGTGAGTTTGATCCCCCTTCAGGGCACATACAAGAATCAGTCAATGAATGCATAAATAATTGGAACAACAAATTGATGCTTCTCCCTCTCTCTCTCTAAAAATAAATAAAATAAAGTGCTACTAAAAATTAGAAGAAAGAGTGATTTACACCCCTTCTGAGTTGTGACACCTTAGCATAGTTGTTGCAGTTGTTTTATTTTAGGACATCCCTCTTCTAAAAGTCCCACATAAATTAGCAGGAAATGAAATTGGTTTTGTTGGGGGAACAAGGAGAAGGTGTGTTTTTACTAGTAATGTTTTGGGATCTTTCATCTTAAGATAATTTTCTGCATGTGTCATGCTCCAACACACTCCTTAGCTTGGTATAAAAGGAAGTTTAATGCCATATTTAATGCCATCTGTCCCCATCTTTCTCTCTAGCTTCTTCTGCTATCTCATGGAGACCATGCTTTAACTCCATTGGGCCTCTTGCTTTTCATCCAAATCACCATACCATTTCAAGGCCTCTCACATGCGGTCCTTTTTCACTTGGTTGATACATCCTCAACCTTTAAATCTCAGTGAGAAGTAGGGTGAGGATGGAAAAAATGTATCTTCCCTTCTAAGAAACCTTCCTGGATTCCCTGCACTGGGTTACTTGTCCCTCCATGAGCTTCCCGAGTTCCTGTGCTTCCTCTGCCCTAGGACCTAATGCTCTGTTTTAACCATCTGTTTTGGTGACCACCTCCCCTTCTAGATGGTGAGCTCTATAGGGTAGAGGCCATGCCTTATTTTTTTCTGTGTCCTCACTGTCCAACACAGGACCTGGCATCAGATAGAGGGCAGTAAATATTGATTGAGCTAAATTGAAATGTGATTATTGAAGCTGCCCGAAGGCTTTAGAAATCAGAGCTGGCAAACACCACCCACTATCTGCAGACAGCTGGTTGCAGATGACCTTGGTTGCTGGAAGGGAGTTATGCGCCCTCTACTTGCAGTACAGGCTTTTCTCTGAGGTCATTCATTGTTCTGGGGTGGCTAGCACAGTAGTGCTGGATAGCAGGGAAGCTGCTGCGGGCTCACTTCCTGCAAGGACAACACAGTGAAAGTTCTGGCCTTCAGAGGCTCTGTCTCAAGTTCCAGTCTCCAGTACCCCACTGGGGTACTGGACTGGGAAAGCTAGAAGGCATCTTTGTGATCCCCTTTCTCTCCTTAAGTCTAGAACCTAGAAAAAACAAGTAAGTTTTTTCCTCTCTGGGTCTCAGGCTGGGTCCTCTACTCTCTTGAGCCACACATCCCTGAAATGAGAATTCTCATGTACAAAGTGCCTAGCCATGTCCCATTTCTGCTGGTATAATCTCTTCACTCCTCCTTCCAAAGGTCCCACACTCAGTCTTAAGACCCCTGAACCTTGGGAAGGAAAATGCACACCTACTCATCTCAGCTTTCCTGGGCAATACTAGTTTTACCTCTTTTTTTCTTTCATG